ATAGATAGATAGATAGATAGATAGATAGATAGATAGATAGATAGATAGATAGATAGATAGATAGATAGATGATAGATAGATAGATGATAGATAGATGATAGATAGATGATAGATAGATGATAGATAGAGAAAAGCATATTTGGTCAAGAGGAAAAATATCAAGCTTTATGTAATCATCATATTGTCCTATATGTTGTATTATATATTATTATATTTAATAATAATGCCCTGTATGATGCATTATGTTATATTATCCTTATATATAATAATATTGTCCCTGCGCGTGCGTGCGCGCGCGCACACACACCCACACACCATGTATTCATCATATAGGATTGACTTACATGCTGTATTTATATATTAATATGTAGTTATATGATATTATTATCCTTTATGGTATTATCCTATTATACTGTTACAAACATGTAATAATAATAATAGTACCTTTTGCATTTTTCTTCTTGATTCCCTTTGCCTTTTCTTATTTATGGAATTGGGGTCCCTTTCCTATTTTTAATTGCAATTATTTTCATTATCACTTATTAATGGATGCACATGAAATATTAATATTGTATACCTTTCCACATCTTGGTAATTAGGGTATTTTATTTATTAATTTTATTATTTATTAAACTTACATGCCCTCCCCCTCAATCTCAACAACTCTGAATCTCACAAAAACAAGCAAACAGAATACAATAAAATCAAGCAAAAAATTTCACTAGGAAACCTAGTGACTTGGTTTATACAGTTAGAAATGTTGATTAAAGTGATAGGCAGGTTCCCCTAACTTTTCTGGTTTACAAGATCATTTTCATAATAGTCAAAAGATGAACAGTCTGAATGCTTCAGAAATACTTTTAAAATTATAAAATATAAAGTGTTACAAAATAAAACTCACCAGATATATCAAATCTGAAAGAAAATGTTGGCAAGATGTATGACTGCATAAAATAAAATGTTTCATCTTGATAGTTTACAAGAGACAATGCGCAAGGAACAATAAGTAGAATACAACATAGAATACAATAAAATTAAGAAAGCCAAACTATAATCAAACTGAGGTGAAGTCAAGTGTCAAATGCCATCTGGATTGGGGCAAAAGAGTGATCAAAATGCATGAGATATGGCAGCTTTCCATATCCAAAAACTATAATACTGGGGAAGTGTTAACATGTTGCAGAGTGAAGACAAGTTGAGGTAGACATTGTAGACGAATAAACATTTTTGCTTGGTGTAGCAAATGTAGACCAAGATATGCTTTTCTCTCTTACAGCATTAGAAATCAGGAATTCAGGAGAAGGAAACACTTCTATATGTAATGCATAGTTAGGCCATCAGATATAATAGTGGACACCAATTCAGATTGTTTTAGACATATGCATTGCAAATTTAGGTAATGAATAGCGTCTAGTCTTATGAATTGGGTAGTGCCTCCTGAATCCTAGCAGTATACTTAAATTATAGGAGCTGAGGAAACATATTGGGACTGTTCCTTTCTGTCTATGCCTGTGTGTTTCATGAATGCATTTGGTCAGCCACTGTGTCTATGAAATGCTGGACTAGATAGACAATTGGGCAGATCCTACTTAGTCATTGATATGTCCACATCTCAGTTCAAGACCTGAGATTGCCTCAACACAAATGTTGAAGGGCCCACCTGGATTTCATATTTTTGTAGGGTGATTGAACAGGGATTTGTAAAAACTCATTTTCCCAAGTCACATCATTTGTTGGTTACTTTGGGCCTGTGGGTCCTTCTTCCTCTGCATGGATATGGATGAGGGAGGGAGGGTTAGTAAACCTAGTGGATTCCAGAGAGAGAATTTATGGATTTGGTGGATTCTGGGATACTCTGGGAGATTTCCATTGTGAGGTGGGCAATCCTGCCAGTTGGGATCGTTCTAGTTCTTTAACATTAAGGTGTAATGCTGATTTTATTGACTCCTCTCTTGAGCCTAGGTGCATTTTTATAAAAATCTAAATGTTTCTATACTTCAACAATAATGGGATTAGGACATATAAGAATCAACCAGATCTCTCAAGCATGTGTAACCTGCTTCCTTTGCTTTCTTTGCTACTAATTGTGATAGATTTTCATCTTGTTGGAAAATGGTTTCAGCATGTCTAGTTCAAAGTCCAAATTGTTTAGATTTCTAAACAAGGTCATGGATTAACAGATTTAATTTACAGGAAGATAGATTGCAATTGAATGCAGTGAAGAACTTTCTAACAGTAAGAACAGTTTCTCCATGGAACCAATAACATTGCATAAGAGTGAGCTTCCCTTTGTTGGATGTGTTCAAATCCAGTCAAATGCTTTGATTTGGATTCCTGTAATGAACAAACATCAGTAGCCTAAATGGCAGCTTCTAAGTCAATGCCACCGTTTGGTTTTACTCCAAAACAGTGAACCTTTATGAACAATAGCCACAATTCCTCTCTTTTTAATAGCTATAGATGGGCAAAATGTTCAGAAACGAACTGTTAGCTGTTGAGCATTCTCCATTCTGTCATGCACTGTTTTTTTCCATTTGCCTTGTCAATAGTTATTAAAATATGTGGCGGTGTTACTAACCCTTCCTTTACTTTTTTCTCTTTTTCCACTCTGCAATTATCAGCTAGGTTACAGAAATCTTCAGGCTCCCTTTCCAAGCTTTCTAATTCTACAAAACAGCTTTATGTAGCTTTATAATGCTAATTCTATAAAGCAGCTTGGCCAGTCTGGATCTCCTATTAACCTTCAACTCTCTGTATCCTCTGCTGACTGATGGCTATGGTGTCTCTGGATCCATTTGATACCAGGATTCCAAGTCGTAGCTTACAAAGGATCTTGCTTCCCCCCCCCCCCTCACTATAATAAAAGCAGTATTGTGGTGCAAGCTCTACCGCTGTGAGTTATTGTGACATATGCAAAAAAATAAGGTGGGGTGAATGAGGCTTTTGCCATGCACTACTTTTCTCAGCCTGAATCCCCTTTGCTGCCTTGACAGATGACATTGGTTGCAAAACATCTAAAACTATGCAAAATGCAACCACTCAGAAAAAGAGGTGTGGATTGTTGGATTGCTGCCCTCAATATTGCTACTCTGTAGAAATAGCATCATGTTGAATGAACCTTAACTTCACACATGACTTGATTGTCTCTTCTGTGTTTTTGCTTTGTGTCAGCACGTGAGAATGTGGTGTGATTTCTATTGTCTCACTAAACTCTGATGTCTTTTTTTTCTCCTTTTCTGCTTGCCTGCTGCTTTCATTCTGTAGTATTGGTATTTGCCATTCATTTCACCTTCTGCATCTATGCATCTCATGGTAGGTTTTAGGTTTCTTAATCTGAGACTAGACATTTCTGCTATATGAAATGAGATTTTAATAAAATCTTAAAGTCTTAAGCAGGGTTTGTCAATATATACTGCCGTACCTTTTAAAACCTTTACATTTTCATCTCTTAATAGGAAGGCATTTGTGTAGCCAATAACTGATGGATTGGTTATTCAACTTTAAGTTTTAGGGATGGGTGAAAAATACAGCAAGTATATTTTTTGTCTTTGTTGATGGTGTCTACATTTCTGCTGAAAGTTTATTAGCTTTGTGGTTCCTTTGAGTTTTTAAGTGGAATATTATTGAAACAATGCAAGTCAAAAAAATCCTTCTTATAAGAACTGAACACTTGGAACCTGTCAAATGCCTTTCTTTTTTTCAGTGACCATTTTCATCTTGAAACCAAGGAATTCAATTTTGTGAAATTGTTTGCTCTGAAAAGTTCCACTGATCCAATGTTTGGGCCAAACTATTGATTAGGTCTGGCCACAGGGAGTATGTGACTCCATTGTTCCAATAGCTTAATTGTCTCTTTTATGGAAGTATCACTTTGTGTGCCAAATTCTATCCTCACTCAAGCAAGTATTGATTAATGAACACAGGAGCAGTTGTTACGCCAAGAATATTAAGGGATTGGGTTAGAATTTATGGGCTATCTGTTGGTAGCCATCTTCAAGTCATAGAAGAATCACTGATGCTAAGGAAAAGCAGAAGTCTCTCCCCATTTTCTATTTCTTCTTCATATCTTTAGGACAGAGTTGTTTTATTTATTCTTCTCGCCCTCATTCAAAACGTATGGCCCTTGCAGTATTCATGCTCTTCACTATTCTGGTGAAGCAAGTCTTCTTGTTCATTTTTTTTTCTTGTGACAGACTAAGCTGTGGCTGGGTCAGACCCTAAATATTTGCACCCTTTTTTGTCTGGTATATGCTAAATATGTTATGAATTTGTCTAGAGCTCGGAGCTCTTCACTTTGACGTATGGGGCTTTGGTCACTCAGCTGTGTAAGGACTACGAGAATGATGAAGATGTCAACAAGCAGCTTGACAAAATGTAAGTAACAGAAACAACATGGGTGTTCTCAGGTTAGAAATGCCTGAAACCCCTTTTCCATGGGTTATTTGCTTTGCAGAATAAAACTAATTTTATCCATTCCTTGGAATTTGGGAAAATAAATGAGCATGGGTTTCCTTCCTAAAGCCTCAGAGTGTTTCCCTCCAGTCTGACTTGCTTGGTGTGACCACAGTTTCATGGCATCTTGCTTTTGGCTGCTTTAATAGGGGCTACAACATAGGTGTTCGACTTGTGGAAGACTTTCTAGCACGATCCAATGTTGGGAGATGTCATGACTTTCGAGAAACGGCAGATGTGATTGCAAAGGTGATGCCTCTTTTTGACTCTTCGGCTTTGTTTCTGCATGTTTATTGTTTGCTTCTGTTGCTGTTAAATCTTATTTTCTTTGAACTTATTATAGCTATATATTAGGAACACAATTTTCTCAGTACAAAACAAATTTCACTCTCTTAGTTTGTTAGTATTGTTTCACTTCTGTTTTATTTAAAAATAGAGACAATTCCAGAAAACAGCTGAAAACAAGGCTAGTTTTCAGCTGTTTTCTGAAATTGTCCCTAACTTTAAATAAAACAGAAGTGAATCAATAATAATAAACAAATGAAAAGTGTTTTTATTATCAAAGCTGGATATCTCTGACTTTTTACCAAGAAGTTAAGTAAGATGAGATAATTTTGTAACAGGAAAAAAAAAGGAAACAGGATCAGCATTTCTCCTATTCCCATGTAAGACAATGGTCTAAATCAGGGGTGTCAAATTCGATTTCATTGAGGGCCTCATCAGGGTTGTGCTTGACCTTGAGGGGCCGGGGTGGATGTGGCCAGGGTGGGCATGGTCAGCTCGACGTGTCTTGTGTACGTGGGTGCCTGTGGTGACCCAAACATTCTGCCAGCAAAAACAGGCTCCCGAGCTCCGTTTTTGGCTGCAATGGCCTCCTGCAACCCTCTGCCAGCTAAAATGGAGCTTGGTTTTCATTGGCAGAGGCACCACAGGCTGTTCCTTTGTTGTTTCAAGGGCGGCCCTGAGGGCCGGATGCTGCCCCTAGACCTTGAGTTTGACACCCCTGGTCTAAATGTTACCACTGTTTTTAGAAGGGGAAGGCATCAGACAAAATGCAGAGAATTACTTATCAAAATCAGTTGTCAGGATTCTGATAACTTCAATATTGTCTTATCTGGTGTGTGGAAAAGAGCTTACTTACCGTAAGTATGTTACGTTGAAGAATTGCTGGGGTTTGCTTTGTGGTCGTTTGTTTGTTGATGTGTAAAAAATAGTGGCTTGCTAAATCTTTCCCTCTTTGAACCCAGTTCTTCTCTCATATCTGTTTCTCTTAATAGGTAGCATTTAAAATGTACTTGGGTATCACACCAAGCATCACAAACTGGAGTCCGTCAGGCGACGAATTCTCCCTTATCTTGGAAAACAATCCACTGGTGGATTTTGTGGAATTACCAGACAACCATTCCTCTCTTATTTACTCTAACCTCTTATGTGGGGTGCTCCGGGGAGCCCTGGAAATGGTGAGAAGAAGAGGAGACCAGTTGAACCAATGGCCCTGGTGGCTGCTTTTAATGAAATGCAAAATTCAAAATAAATTGTGGACATTAAGTACATGGGTTTATGTTAAAAAGTATCAACAGTATGTTAAAGTAATGGATAGCATTCATTTGGTAATATTAGATTTCCGTTAGGTCTGTGAGTCGGAGGACATCAATTGAAAGAATTTAAGTATTTTCCAACTTTTCCATCTAAAAAAAATTCTCTAAAATGTCCTCCATATATTCAAGTGCACTTGTGTTAATAAAATGGTTAGTTTTCAGACTGTTAACACTGTAGTATTGTGAAGGCCAAAATAGTGTTCTCATTTATCTGGACTGGATCAACTCTTTGTATTGCATTCATGGGCCATCTCTTATAAGGATTCTAAGTAGCTCACAGTCAGATAGCTACAGTATCAATGAGGATGACTTTGGAACCTTTCGTGATATGTCCTAAGAACAATTCGTGAGTCCATCAAATCCTCAATACAAAGAGAGCAGGGGAAATCACATCGCTTACAAGACAGGAAGGTCGATAAAGGCAGTACAAGAAAGACTGTATATGGAAGAAGGGTGACTTTTCATAAATAACAGGATGTATCTTGGCATGAATACCTGTCCTTTTCAAAGGGGTTTGGCACTTTATGGAGCTGTTGTAGGGAAACATCTCAAAAGTGTGGACTTCCCTCTCTCTCATCATAGGTACAGATGGCTGTGGATGTCAGATTTCTCCTGGACACCTTGAAAGGGGATGGAGTCACAGAAATAAGGATGAAGTTTATCAGGCGGATTGAAGACAACCTCCCAGTTGGAGAGGAGTGAGTCTTGAGCAGCCTTCATACTGGACTGGAAGGGATGAAGTCACTGAATCGGAGCTTCATTCGCATACAGTACCCTGTGTACTTTGAGACACTGACTGGTTAAGACGTCAATTCATTTGAAATAGTCTGTTTTATTTCCACAGATTTCTATTAAAAGCTTTTGTAGGATGTAGAACTCTTTTCATATTCATCAGAAACACAAGGCACCCTTTTCCTTGTTACCACGCTTAGCTCCATGCAAAAATACAGGATATTAAAACTGTAATTTTGAACCTTGGAATAATTCCAGATGCCACTTTCGTTCTGCAGTATGTGAAGAATTCTGCCATTATTGTCCTCTGTGTATGCTGGTCAGTTTTCCTTCACAGGGAAGCCATTCCTGATAGCACAGAATGTATTCTATGATTTGAAAGAATTGAGAGCTCCTAATGGATTTGGACTTGTCCTTTTAGTTTTGCCATTCAACAAAACAATTAAAATGTATGTTGAATCAAAAGCTGGATCCATTTTGACAGTCCTGAAAGAAGTGGGTCATTGAAACTCAACAGAATCCCAGTTAGTTGGTTGTTTCCAGTTTCGTCTGTCTTCCTAGTTGGTTGGGCAAAATAGTTTTAATGAACCAATGATGTAGGGCTCAAGTTTCAAATGTTTATATAATGTCAGAAAAATGATATTCTCTCTGAGGGCCTCTTCTTTAGCACATCTTTGATTTTGGTAACTAATTGAAGAGTTGTTCACACCAGCTTTGTTTTCAAAAATATTACCATTGGGCATCTGTGCTGAGAAGATAGAGATGGTAGTAGCATGTTTCACGTGCATTCAAGTTTTTCTTAAGAAAAAGGGCTCTCAAGATTGCAGAGAGAAGGGTATAAACAGCCTTGCGTGGTAGATTGATCAGTGTATCAAATGCTGGATGATTGAAGGGAATTTGAAGAGTATCTTGGCAGAGCTTAAAAGTGAACATTCACTGAGTTCGTCATTGTGTGTATCTTATGAGGTTCTAAGCTTTCTATTGGACAGAACAGCCTTTGTTGCATTTTATGGACAAATCTGTACTAAATGGCGGAAATCCCTTGAATTGAGGATCCCATGGAGAATGTATGCTTTAAACATAGAAATGCCTGCAATGCTTGAAAAGGCACAAGAGGCTTCTGGTGATCTCTGTCTTCTTAAAGCATAATGGAATCCATTATCCCATGCTGATGTTGGTGAAAAGATTGCAGTACTTCATTCGCTAGAGAAATTAATTGGTGGTTGGGAGGCTTTATGATTTACTTGTGTGGGCATCAACTGAATGGTATTTTAAAAGTTGGCAAAGGGAGCCGTACTTATTTGATGACTTGGTCTTGTAAATAATGCTCTGGGTAATATGTGCAGCGGGAGAATGAAATGGCTTACCTAATTGCAAGAAAATGAAAACCAAACAGTTGCTTTCTCAAGACAGTGGGGCCATTTTTAAGGGTATATTGGTCACATTTTCCGGTGCTCTTCTATGATTTTTCTCAGTTGCTTTGCAGAAGCATAGACACAATATGCTTTTTTGCATCATAATGGATAAAAATTTGAGCATACTTGCTTTGGAATAATTAATTCTGACTGTTGGAGGAGTCTAGCCCTGAGAAAATCATTTTTGTTTCTTTTGTAATTTTTCATAGTTTTGAAAAATTACGTTGATCTACAGCTGATTGGTGAATATTGATTAGTTAGATGCGATTTACACCTTTTTATTTGTATATGGGGTATGTCATATGTTCCATTTTTGAAGGTATTGTTTTGAATCTCTTATATTAAAGACACTCTTAAATTAAGGTGTATGGCAGTAGATTCATAGTTAATTTTATTAAATTTTATCCTATTTTCACTCTCCTCTCTTTTTCCACACTTTAGCAACATAGATTTTTGATTGATTGTATTTCTATGGCCATCTATCTCACAAGGAATGTCTGGATGGTATACAGCAATTAAATTAACTATATAAAAATAAACATAAAAATATAAATCATTATTAAAATTAAACATTATTAAAAGTTAAAATATACAACCACAAAACAGAGTAAAAGAGAGTAAATATATCAACCACATTAGTGGAGCCATCCTATAATATTACTGGTTCTCTGGCTGACATAACAGACCTTAAGGATCTTCCAGAGTGCTAAGAGGGATGGAGCTAACCTGAATTCAGGGATGGGAGAATATTCCAGCCAGGCAAATGTCACGGCAGAGAAGCTCTCTCCTCCTATAAATTCCTAGCACGAGGGTGGGCATATATGACCCCTTTATGATTTCAACTCCCAGAATTCCTCAGCCAGCCATGTGAGTGGGAGTTGAAGTCCACAGGTCATAAAGGAATCATAGTGGCCCACCTCTGCTCTAGCAGATGGTACCTGCTGCATGTCTTCTCTGTTGGGTCTAGTGGGATGGGCTGATATAATTGGGGGAGGTCCCATGCCATAAAGGGTTTTAAAAGTTAAAACCAGTGCCATGAATTGGTTGGAGAAGCAAACTGGCAGCCAATGTGTATCGTGCTGTCCTGGGGCCATGCATAACTGCATTCTGCATAATTGAAACTTCTGAATACTCTTCAAGGGCAACCGCATGTAGAGCACATTACTATTTTGGAGGTGATTAGGGCACGAGTAGCTGAACAAAGCCCCCTGATCAGGAACAGCACAATTGGCAGCCGATAAGCTCTGTAAAGACCCTTCTAACCATGACTGCTACCTGCTCTTTGAGGACCACCAGATGGTGAACCAGATCTGTCTGGAGCAGTGCAACTCCATCTACCACGAAAGATTGAATAGTCCTAGAAACCCTAGGCCCCCAAACCCAAAGCCACTCAGTCTTGCAGTGTAGAGCTGAAGACTGTTGTTCCCTCTCCAGACCCTCATAGTCTCCAGGCCATAGGATAAGATATTCATGGCATTACTTAATTTGGATGGGACACTGTGTCAGCCTCTGTTTTGCTTGCCACGCTTGCTTGCTATCAGTTGCCAGAGGAACTGGAGGGGGGCATAGTAATGGGGAAGGGAATATTGTACTGGAGGAGTCTTGTTCTCACCATCTTCTGCGCATGCTGGTGGCTGATGTTTGGGTTTGGTCAAGGCCAACCGTTCCACATACCAACTTGATGAGGCTGTTTGAAGATGCACCCCACACGACATCTTAGGGAGTTGCAGCTTGGACAATAGGTTGGGGAATTGGGGGGAGGATACTGGGTAAACGTTTGATATGTATTTGTTCCTG